CACATGCTTCAAGTGAACCATTTTTAAAGTGCTTTGCTAGAGTAAGGTCTAAAGGAAGACTGAGAAACATATGAACCACAGGGAGATACTGCCCATTACTTGAAATGACCCAAAAAATCTATGAACTTGGTTATTTACTTATTTTAATTTTCACACATCTCTGGAATTTCTAGTTTCAGCTGTGAGAAAAAGCATTGCAAAATGAGCCCTTGCAAAATAGTTCTCAATACTTTCTGCACATCTGGAACTAAAAAGAATTGAAAATCTCACAAAACAACCTGATATCGAAACATCTTTTAGCCTGATTTCCAGACCAGAGAATTCTCTGGTTTTGGATCAGCTTCAATGGACTTTGGATCAGGACTTTCAATGCTTCTCCCAAAATTAGCCCTCCTTCTGAGGTTCACCAACCATTACTAATACAGTAATCAGGGTTTCAATTTTAGGCTATTACAAAAAAAGAAATAGCTCCCTCAGAGACAAAAAAAATCCACACACTCCACAAGTTTACCAGCATATGTTAGGTAGCACAAAAAAACTTAAATATTTTTGTGTTACTCTTAATTCATCAGCCACAGCTGTCATTTTCATACAGTCCTAGTCAATTTCACACTGAGGACACACCATGGGCTGACTGAGGACATGCAAATTGGGCAAACATCCCTGAGAAATGCTTGGCAAATCTGGCTTTTCAGCTTTGTGTTTACTTGCCAAAAGCATCCTCAACCTCCAGTCTACCCTTCACCATGCCTAATTTAATTTCTAAACGTCAGAAGCCTTAAAAGTGAAAATCCTGCAAAACACTGCCTACATCTCTCAATGAAATGAGAATGCATATCTTACAATTATGTTTTGTTATAGGTGCAAGAGAAGTCAAATCTTTCAGTTACTCTTGACCACAAATGCTAATACAATTACAAACTGTGTCTCCAAAGAGCTATTGAATTTTTAGGGAGCACTTTCCCCACATACAAATAAATCTCAAAATGCTCCTGTTACATACCACAACCCAACATTGCCAGGAAGCCAAGAGGCTCATCTTCCACATTAGTGCATCTGGTTTGTATAACTATTCCCCATTCCAATGCAGTAAGACACTGCACTGCTCTCTAGTGAGTTCAAGGCAAATGATTTTCAACAATCCGCCATTTCTATAACAGTTATTTAATCTTTCAAATGAGACCAGTACATTTTGTTGTAAAAATAGAATACTCATATTCTTGAAGACAATCTCGGTGTGGCTTCCTTTCTTTGGGGTCTTCAGGACTTTCTGACAAATGTATTGTATATGTACATGCATGTAAGTATGCATAAATATGTGTGTGTGTGTGTGTGCGTATGTATGCACAAACATATGTATATGTGGCAATGGGTAGATATAGATATCATGAATTTTAATCAGTTTTGAAATGGCTGGGGGAAATGGACAATACTCTTCAAACACTGCAATTTTATGCACTTTATTTTACAGATGAAGAATTTTTGCTTAAAGTGAGATTTAAGGATTTGCCAGTAGCCTACAGTGAATACTTTATTCTTTTCTTTTTGCACTACTTTGACTGGCCTTCTTTCCCCTCCAGTAATCATTGTCTAAAAAAAGAAAACCTCTAGGAGCACTTCACTTCTATCCCTTCCCTCTGGCAGAATGCCCAGCCTCAGTATGATGCTTTTAAACCCTTTCCCTTTTCCTGTGATACAAGGTTTTCACAACATTATTGTCCTGAACAATACAGCAGGGCTATGGGCTATGACACCATTCATGCAGTGATATACTGAACAGCTTTTTAGACGAGTACATAACTACTCTTCTAAAGAGTTCTGTGTATGTGTGTGCACGCACATACACATAATGTTTTAGCATATTATGTTTCATAGTTATATTGAGTAAGAAGAATCTGCCGACAGAAAAACACAATGAATACCACATGGAGCTCAGCCTTGTCTTGTGCATATGTGCTGGTTTTACTGGAGTTCAGCAGTAAATTTGGCAAGTGAGAAAACAGCTGATATGGAAAAAGAAGAATCAACAGTTTCCCCATACTACTGTCTAATGGGATAGTTACTAACTAAACATTCTGGGCCTGATATGGTATTCCTTGCACAGTGAAACCAATAGGAACAGTAGAAAGATTGTAAGTTCAGGTATTGGATAGTACCTTCTTCTAAAAAGATATAGAGAACAGAAAATGAAGGCTGCATTATTAAGGGGATTAAGTTGAAAAAAAAACTCTAATCCATTTGTATCTACGGCATTATCACTTTATCAGTCATCTGGAGAATCCATAGGCTTTTCCAGTATCTCACTTATTGTAGCCACATAATAAAATATCTTTTGTACCAGCCTTTTTTTTTTGTCCAACTGTCCTGTTCACTGTGGTTGAACAATCTGCATACCTTTTTCCGAAATTTGGTCCATCTACACTTAGCCAAATTTTGGAAAAACCTTATCTTTCAGAAGAGTCCTTCCTTCTTGTGGAAGGAAGAAGACAGGGCTTCTGAAAGAGCACGTCTGCTCTTCCACAAAACAAAATATGGAAGAGCAGACGTGTTCCCTGGATGCGACGGAGTTTCTCAAAACCCCATAGTGTAGATCTAGCCTCAAAGCCAAGAGTCTTGTTTGTTACCCAGTCTTTTTTCAATGGACATCAGTTCAAAGAGACTTATCACAAAGGCTAAAGGAGAGGGTGTTCTCTTCTCTTTGTTCTGATGATACCAACAACATAATACAAATACAGAGACCGATGACTCTGTTGTAGGTTGGTTTTAATCCAAATGTATTAAAATATTAAATTTAAATACATAAATAAGACAAACACCTAAAACAGAACTACAAGACTCAGTGACACCCCACTTCATAAGCAAATTCACTTATGTTTATTGAGAGAAGAAAAAGCACTTAAAATGCTATTTATTGGATCTCAAAAACAAAACTGGTTCTATATATGAGATGTTCAGTTATTTGTAATTCAAGGGAGTTTTTAATGAACATTTTACTGCTCAGTTGGCACCTCATGATCTTTGTGATGCTTTCATAAAGTGGGCAAAGGTTTTATGGGCCTTGTCTTTCAGCCATTTACATAAACCTCCCATTGAATTCTGCAATTGAAGGTAAAAAAAATGCAAAAATTGGCAGTAAATTTAATAATGAATTGATCTGAATATGATTTCTGAGAGCAAAGAAAGGCTGAAATCACTGTGTAAGTGATCTGTTTTGCTTAGCTCTTTTCATGAACTGTGTGGGATTTAATGTTGTTTAGAGATTTTAGCTGCTAAGCCGTTGTAAGTCACTGCAAGTTTACGATCACAGGGACTCAAGTGTCCATAGAAATGAAGTATTTTTCTAGTAATAAATAATCTTCATTACTTGCACTATAAATCTGATATTCACTTAAACATGAGGATATTATCAATAATAATAATAATAATGAATAATCCACGTGGAACATAATTTAGCAGGGAAGGAAGGTGAAATAAACAAATAAAAAGTAGCAACAAAACAAGCCACGATCCACTAAATGTGAGACTTTAAGACCAAGTTGCCCTATTGAAAGAGAATGCCATTAAGAATGTGAAACCAAACCTCTCCCACATCTGTAGTAAAATTTCTTAGTCACAGCCTGCCTGCTGTTAAGTACCCAGACAGTGCTGATGAAAGAGTTCTAAGTACATTGGAATATGTGTCCTTCTGTGAATGTGTATACAGGTTTAACAGGCCTGCAGGCAAGAGATGAAAGCTGGGCATGAGGAGGATGGTAGGATTGGAAATTCAAGTCAATTTATTTTAGTACAAAATCCTGAGCACAGTGTGTCCCCTTTCCTCTAAGTAAATAGTGGTTGTCGCTACTGAATAAAATGCAAATATAAAATTCCCACTTTTCTTTTTTCTTTTTATTTCAGGAGTCAAAAGGGACCAGCAAAGAAATGTAACACTAGCCTGTTTTAGATTGTGTAAAGTATGTTTACCAAGGCAGGAAGGAATTTCGTAAATATTCCCTCTCCCAGGATCTATGGAGTCTGAGACAGACTGAACCAAGCAGGAAAGGGGAATAAGGAAAGAAAGAAAACAACTTGAGAGATCATCTTATTTTCTTTTTTTTACAGTTGGGCTAAAAGCATTCAAGACCAATTAAGAGTACACACTCAAATTAGATTAGTCTCCACAGCTAGATATTTGGTTTTGTTGTTTGTTTTAAAAGTAGGGTTGGTTTGTTTGTTTACAAAAGTCAACAGGAATGAAATAAATTTAACAAATTATTAGGCAATGATATCTATCTTTTTTTCTTACAGTATGAAATGAAATATAAACCCCAAGCAGCCAGCCAGGTTTAGCCATCAAGTGGCATTACATTAAAAAAAGTAAACAGAGCAAGTGTTGAAAAAGACAATTGGTTTTGGTGGGGGTTTTTAGGAATTATTTGAGTTTTAATTATTTAAGGAACTTGTTAATTATATATGATGGAAACAAGTATGCAGGGTGTCAAGTATCTTTTGCTTACTACTGAAGTAAATGGGACATTCAGACAATCAGCAGCTCTCAGAAAATGCTTAGCTCCATTCAAATTCAAACCCGATATTAATTTATTATCCTGACAGTGAAAAAATATTCAAGTTTTACAGCTGCTTGTTGGTTCTTTTTTGGCCTACTGTGACTTTAGTCTGTGCACACTGAAACTTGCTTGAATCTTGGAAGTTATTTCCCTGCAGGTTAGAATGATGTGTTTCATTCTATAACTTTCATACACAAGGCATCTGCAAAGCACTTTACAATGTAATGAAAATTAGACCTTGATCTTATATTAGAACCATGCAGGCAAACCCCTGAGCCCATGCAGTGCTTCTTTGACTTCAGTGAGCCTTCACATATGCACAGAGGACCTACCAAATGCTTTTCAATGCAGAATAAGCCCTTGGCATCGTGGGTAAAATTATGTCACCTCTAGTTCCACATAATCAGAGTCAAACATACAACTCGTACTTTTACTTTTACATGTACAAATAAAATATTACAGATTTTAACAGACTTTACAGCTACACATATGTCTATAGAAAGCATATCTTGATCTAACACTAATTGGAATTCATATTGCTCATCTGAGTGTGACTGTGATGAATTGGAAAAGTGCATTGTAACCTGACTGTATATGTTCCACCTGAAAGGAAATTTGTTATGGAACTAAGTAGAGTGTTTGGCAATAATGATGTTCAAGTGAAAAGACATGAATTTTGTTTGGCCTAGGTAGCAAGGTTGCTTCAGCTGGTCTTTTTGTGTGTGTATGTGTTTGTGAGAAAGGAAATATATTTGTACTACTTTAATTCTGTGTCAGCCTGGACTTTATGAAAGATTATTATAAACACCACCACCAATCCATTCTCATGTATTAGATGCTCATGATTGCCATTAACTCCACAACAAATTTTCAATAGTTTCACCTGGTGAAACGTCACCATTACAAGAGTAAAGGCAAAATAGCACCTCTTTAATGTGCAGCCAAACTTAATGGCTTCTTCTGTTGTCTTCAAACAAAGACCTACTCCTTCTGCTACCAACTTCTTTACTTGCATTTTCATTTCACTGAGGTCAGCCGTAACTAAATCATCACAGATCAAAATGCAAGGAGAGGATAGGCATGGATGGCAGGTGTGAGAAGCCAAGGGAGACCAAGCCTCCTCAAACAGGATGAGACACACTTCCCTTTGGTGAGCTGCCACCAAAATGGTACATGAGCCATGGCCCCACCTATACTCCACCCAAAGGCCGTACTCCCACATCCCACACTGTTTCTTTTCCTATTACAGCTGCTCCCTGAGTTATGACCACCTCCACTTACGACCATCTGCACTTATGACCAAAGCGGTCGTAAATGCGGATCCAAGTTACGAACGGCGATCCGCGCTTACAAACAGTGCGGTCACCATGTAACTCTATGGGATCCGAGTTACGAACACTTCGACTTATGGACCAAGTGTTACAATTGCCAAGTGTTGGTCCGTAACTTGTTTGTAACTCGGGGAGCTGCTGTACTGCTCTGCCTTTCCCTTGCTCTCCTCCCCCCTCCACTCATGCCTCTGCTCCCTCTAGAGACAATGGGGCTATTTCAGGATACAGGAAATATCCCAGAATAGCAATTCCACGTCTTTAAAGGCACCCATTATTTCAAAATATATTTCAAAATAACATGCGCACAATCCGGTGTCCCTGTAAACCTCGTTTCATGAGAGTTAAGGGATTGGTTGGAATAGCGCTGAATTTCCAAATTTGGCACTGTGTAGACACAATTTCATAGTGCAAATTGTGTAGCTTATTTCCAGGTAAGGGTGCTGTGTAGATGCACCCTGAGAGACAGAGAGGCAGTGGTGGCAGGGCCCCTTGTGGGAGGACGCTGAGAGGTGCAAATGAGAAGTGCTCTGAAAGAAGGGAGCAGAGAAGTGTAATTGGTTGGTGGGAACTTGCGGGTGGGGATCAAGCAGAAATGGGACCTGAGGTGGAGTCGGGGGAGAGAGGCCAAGCACGGATAGGCCTGGGGGTAGGGTAATGATTTATGCCCTGGTGGCCCCCTCCCCTTATTTCTAGGGAACTTACTTCTAAGGCACACAGGCCCAGCTTCCCTGTGGGAGTCACATTCTGTCCATAAAGAGAGGGGGAAATGCCTTTTGGTGAACTTTTTTTAACAAATTTGCTTCAGGCCACATTCATCCCACTCTGCTTTGTTCATTTTCACTTGGTGAACATCCATGGGATGCTCGCAGAGTGCAACATTCTAATCTTCCACATTTACAGAAAATTTTGAATTTTCTTGCCCGTAGCAGTCACACACACAGCTCTAGAAAGAAAGACAAAATCTTGAGATTTACAATATTTGGCCAATTGCAACACAGTCCAAAAAGCACACATTTAAGAAATTGGAGTTTAATACTCAAACAACATTGAAATTATTCAGCAAGCACATATATCTGCAAGTGTATGGTTGTTAAGCACCCACTACAGTGGAGGCATGATCCTGCTTCAAGTCTTTTGGTGTTATCACAGTATGAAAAATAAAACAATGCAAATAGTAAAATATGAGACCATTCACAAATATTCTACTACCAGAAACCAAGGCAAAATTATGGGACCAAGTTATTATTACTTGATCATCTGTGTTTATAATCCAATGCTCCACCACAGCGCTCCCTCCCCCTCAAAAAATAAAATAACTTAATTTCTTTTCTCAATGTCTATGACTATTTACCAGCTCACATTTCAATCTAAAATCCTTTTTGCAACCAATACGGATCAAATGTGTAAAAACAAAACCGGAGCTTTTTTGCACTGCTTCTTGAACAGCAGACAGAAACACAAATTGTAGGAGATTGCCACATCAGTAATAATTGTGTGCAACCTTTTGTTGTATTAATAACAGGAGAGCGTGCATAACCTGTCAAAAAGAGCTAAAGGTCTCTTCTTTGAGACACTTTGAGGTCTTAGAGGTTTGTATTCTTCCTGCTTTAGTTTGACATGCATTGTCTCTTTTTGGCACTGTGATTATCTTTGCCTTGTTGTTAGCCTCAGGAGCAGATATCATTTGCTGTGCCACCTTTGTGACTCTTTTAGTATCAGATAATCTGTTTAACACTCACCATCCCAGATGTTGAGAAATCTAGACTTTACAATTAGGCAGTACCTATATGGCACTGATTCCTGGGTCAAAAAGTCTCTCCCCACCCCCACACCCCTGCTGCCCATACACACACAGGATAAGCATGATTGAAAAACATGCCAGAAAGACAATTGTCAGGCAAAAATACTACAATTGCCATGTGTCTGCTTTTGCGCTGTTTGTGCTTTCTCTCTCTCTTTTTCCTTGTCTCCAGAGATGCACTGCCTTGATTTTTCTTCATGATTGCACTAGATTTATTGCTCCAGTAAATTTCTGCAAAAGCAGGAAGGGTGGGAGTGTGTAAGAAGGACCCTGATTGCTAGCATGAGATCACCTGACTACTCAGGGCTTGCTTCACCAAAAAAAAAATTAAAAAAATCCTTACAATTCAACTGTTTTGCCAGTGCTAATCCAGAGCAGGAGATCAGCAGATGGAAAAAGTGTAGATCTGTTTGGAAGAATGAAGGGGAAGCAGCATTGGGAGGGAAAGTGGGGGAGGAGGAATGGGAGGAGGAGGAGCCACACATGGGCTTGCAGCTCAGCCTTTCGGCAAGGTGCCAAGCAGAGCCCAGTTCGTCTCTTACAAATGGAACTGGGATATGTTGTTGTTCACTACATTATTTCTGATTTATATTTAATCTGAATGAAAGCTTCTCTTTCTTTTTAGATGCTACTAATTTGCTCTTCAGTTTCATTTGGCTGCATGACGTTCAATACCCCACAGGAAAGTATGTAATTATTTTAAATCTTTCATCACATTAGTTTAGTGCTTATAGGAAACAAGAGGAAAAGAGATCCTGAGATGGGCAAAAGAAATTTCACTTCTTGCTTGAAACTTTGCACACCACACTTGTGATGCATTTAAAACTTCACAATCCCATTCTCATATTGTGCTTCATTTAAATCTGACATTCCAGTTACCTGGAGCAACTGCCTTGATGAAAAGAAACTTAGAGGGTAATCCACCAGGACATATTAAACTGTTACAAGTCATAAAACATCTGCACCCAATGACAAGCTATAAAGCTGAATGAATAAAGCTATTAAAGACATAGCATTTCTCTTATCCCTGTGAGCACACTCAACTTGTTCACACACAAAAAGCTTTTTCCATTATTATATCATGTGAAACTCATACGATTATTTCACCGATAGAAGAAGTTGCTCATAAGCAGCTTTGGTTATGTATGCGGTTAGGTAGAGTTCCTACAGTCCCTGTGATCACAAAACAGAGACTGTTGCATACTGTTGTATTTTGCTGAGCATGTAACAAGTTATTTATACACCCATGATGGATGCTTCCCTCATCCTTGTCACTGAATTTTATAAAAAAGATTAAAGCACTGAAAATAAAATAAAATAAAATAAAATAAAATAAAATAAAATAAAATAAAATATGAAGGTTGAAGCAAGAAAATCCACCAGTGCAAGAAAATGTCACTTTTAGAAAACCACAGTAAATATTAGCCCCAATTCTCCGTTATTCTAGTCTTACACTCAGCATAAGAATAAAAAATGTATAAACAACAAGGAGTCCTGTGGCACCTTAAAGACTATCAGATTTATTTGGGCATAAGCGTGCCACCGGACTCCTCATTGGTTTTGCTGAAACAGACACATACAGCTACCCCTTTAAGAAATGTATGGCAGTGGGAAGGTGGCTTACAGACACAGCTTTACTCTATATACTTTTGGGGGGGGGGCAGTCAAGCAGTCAGGCAGATCCCAGTGTAAGGTAGGCCATGTCTACACTGGCAGATGTAAAGCACCAGCAGTTACAGCTCTGCACACAGAGTGCGGCGGCGAAAACTCTATTGGGTGTCCAACTGTCAGCTGCCAGTACATTAGCACAATCACACTTGCAGCACTTGAAGTGCCTTTTGGAGCAGTGCACTCTGGGCAGCTATCCCACAGAGCACCTCTTCCTCTTCTGCTGCACAGGTTTGTGGGGAGGCGCATGGCATCCTGGGTCCTGTCCCAATGCCCTATGGTACAGCATTGCTTCACATTCTAGCAGACCCTGCACTTCTGTCTGCATTTGGAGCCATCTTTCAATGGCTTCTGTGTTGCATGCTCTAGCTTCTTCATGTGTGGGAATGTATTCCCAGCTGTTAACAAAAATTCTGATAGGGGTTTGTCTACACTAGGGGTATGTCTACACTACAGAGTTTTTTTCAGAAAAACTGCCATTTTTCCAACAAAATTTGCGGAACGTCCACACTGGAATCACGTTCTTTCGAAAGTAAACCGACACTCCACCCCAACCACCCTTTCCCAAGGGTCCCCCTTATCCAGGACTCCCCACCTTATTTCCATGAGAAGGGTCCTGACAGTGGACTTCCCCACGCCAAACTGGTTGCCCACTGACCAGTAGCTGTCTGGGGTGGTGAGCTTCCGGAGGGCATTTGCGACCCACTTCTCCAGAGGAATGGCGGGTGACAGGTGGTGGTGGTGTCTCCAGAGGGTGGGGCGAGCCAGGCACACAGCTCCAAAAAGGTGGCCTTCTGCATGCGGAGGTTTTGGAGCCACTGCTGGTCATCCCACCACTCCATGACCAGCCGGTCCCACAAGACTAAACTGGTTTCCAGCCTCCAGAAACTCCTCTCCACAGTAGGGTGCAGTTGTCAGAGTGGTTTCCAAAACATAA